AAAAAAAAAAAAAAAAACTGAATGAGAATCAGATTATCCACCCAGCAAACTTCTCAACATTTCAGTATTTTCATTTGTAATTAAGATGATAGGTGAAATTCTAAATGCTCTTTCTGTGAGTTAAAAAGTATAGGACAAAAATTGGTAAAGACACGAAGGAATGTTTCACTATGGAATTCTTAATTGACGCAGAGCTTTCTGGCATCCTTCCCGTATCAGGCTGCTGAACACATTATTTCTGGTCAGCTTAACATGAAAACTTCTTTTTSTCTTTTGTGGTATGTGCTTCACTGGGACTTCAGTTCAGGTTTCTCACATTCCATTAAACCATCTCCTGTGGCCAATGTCAGATCTTCTGGTGAACCTCTGGCAATCTTCCTCTGTACCTCTTAAACAGAAAATGCAGTGCCAGAAATAGTTTGGCCAGGTAATAGCAGGAGAAAATACGGGGTCCTGGATGGCGGGTTTCCATAGGCTGTGCACTTCAGGGACAAAATGAARCACTTTGTTCTGGATTGACATTCAAATTAATTGTCTGTGTCAAATGAATTCAAAAATCAAACAAATAAGCAAAAAAAATCCTTTTYTATTTTTTTTCCTTTTCACTTCTGCAGAACTTTGCAGTGAAAGATATTTTGATTTTGCCCAAATTGCACCTTTTACCTTGCAGATGAAAATTCCCAGCTAGGGAAGAAAGTGGTGACGTAGCCACTAATATATCTGGATCTGAATCGTGGCTAACTGAGCATGAACGCTTTCTCTCTCAATGATGTTCATAAAATTATAGTCCTACGCAAATGTGCCATGAAATTTAATGATGTACTTATAATTAAAAGAGACTTCAAGTGCTTTATACAATTGACTGTAAGTTATCCTAATTGAGATGAGAAACGTGTCAAGTGATTTGAATATGGTATGAATTGTAGTTCTCAAATCTCAAGTAGAAACACCTTCACATGATTCTTCTTCCTCGAGGACTTTCGTGTTTACTTGCCTATGCTCTTTCTGGGTCCATTTGCAAGTCTACGATGCTGGAAACCTTCCTGAAAAGGCTATCTTCAGAGTATCTGTCAAGCAGGTCAGATGGATCGTTAAGATGGACTGAGAACATTTTCAGGCATGTTTCCAACATCAGAGAAAGACAGATAGACAGTATAAAGGTATTTGGGTTGGGTTTTTTTTGAGGATTTAATTCATTTTGGAGGTGAAACACTGCCACTTGAAGGTCATCTTTACCACTGGGGGGGTTGACTGTCCGTGGATTGGGGAAAATGATATTGACATGCTTTTTCTTGGCTCCTTGTTAGGCGGCTCCATGCTGATCTCCGCAGTGTGCTGCTTCTTTCTCTTTTTTGGCAACAGCGAGTCGGCAATGATTGGCTGGCAGTGCCTGTTCTGCGGGGCCAGCATTGCCGCCTGGAACGCCCTGGATGTGATCACCGTTGAGCTCTATCCCACCGACAAAAGGTACCAAGGGTATCCTTCCTTTTCTGTCCTTATCTTCTGGCTTTGACCTTTCTAGCAGAAATGGGCAAGATACGTGTATATGCAGGTGATCCTTAAGCACTGAGTAGTGTCGTAGCGGGACTTGATCAGCGCTGCCATTTGCGAGAACAAATCTCAATGCAAGGTAGTTTGCATTTAGAWTTTTATGCAGGTATATGTAAATTATGGGCAGATAAAATATGAGTAATGTGTCATTTGCACCAAAATGAGTGGATATTTGACTCTTCAGCCTCTTGGCAGAGCTCATCACTGTGACAGCCTTCCCCTTCACATCCTGGGGACAACCACATGCACAGAATGCTTTGAGAGAAGAGGCAGTACAGAAACCTTTGGAGAGAGTACAGAAATGTGCTGAAGAAAAGATCCTTTCTGGCAACTTCATTAGGAGACATTTCTGCCTTTCTCAGGGGAGATCCAGGAGGCAGCTTGCTTTCTGCTGGTGGATGAAGCAGGATTTGGAGAAGCGCCCAGRTTGTTTCTCTGGTGACAACCCACTCTAACCATTTCCTGAAAGGGCTTTGACAAGTTCCAGAGCAGGTTGCATCCTCCTTTCCTTGTAGAGGAAAAATGCCGTTGTAGCCGTGTAGTTGGACAACTCAAAGGAGGCCAGGGAAAGGCTCAGATAAAAGGGAAAAACAAGTACACACAGACATGAAAACAGATATATTTAGTTATTCTGGATGGTTTTGTTTGCTAGGAGTGTAGGCTGAACAATATAAGAGCATTCACAAAACCTATTGAAATCTCCTGTAATTATGCTGAGAACCTCATTCCTAACCAATGCTTTCTGCTTTTCTTCTCCACAGGGCAACAGCCTTTGGCATCCTCAATGGGCTTTGCAAGTTTGGTGCCATCCTGGGCAACTCAATCTTTGCCTCCTTCGTTGGGATAACCAAGGTGGTTCCCATTCTTCTGGCTTCCTCTGCTCTGGTTGGAGGTGGCCTGCTAGCTTTGCGCCTACCAGAGACTCGAGACCAGGTCCTGATGTGAGCAAGCGAGGCCAGGGGGACAAGGGGGGTAAAGAACAACAAGAGCCATGTTTAGAAAAAGCAAAATGTCCAATTGTACAGTGCTCTGTCGATACCTCAAAGAGAGAGGGCAGGGGAAAGAAGAACCCAGAGGGATAAACCCTAACCCCTAATTTCTGACCCTTTTCAAGCTGCGATGGGTGCATGCAGCTATGGCACACGCACTGSAGAGCTTGGCTGTTCGTGTTTCATCTTGCCTGCACTGGGGCAAGTTCTTCTGTCTTTCCCTGTCCATTCYGGTGTGGTGACAGAGGTTGCGAACAGCTTTGTGCACTTGCGGGCGTGCGTGTGCCTGGTGGGAGAACGGATCCCGACGCCCGTGCGCCTTTGCCGAGCTGGGGGATGCTGCCTGTCTTGCCAGGCTCTCCCTGGCAGTTTGCAAAGCCATGTTTGGGTACAAGTGACAGAATGGAGGCAGTGAACAAACCAGCTCGAGGGGAGACCCGGCAGCAGGGCCAAGAGCTCCAAATGGTGACTGTARCGCTCTTGGTTTTCCAGTTACCATCTGAACCAACAGAAAGAGTCTTCATTGTTGGAGGCAGTAGGGATGTGTGCTCAGCTCTTCTCTGAAGATGCCAGGTCTCAAAGCGCTTTTTTGTCTTCACTTGAGCATGCAGAATCACTAGGCACTTTCCAGGTCTAGGAGAGAGATATATACATAATTTTATATTTCTATATATGTGTATTTACACATACTTGCATACATATGCACACTGTAGTGGTCAGCCATTGAAATATGTAATTTTTCATTTTTGCGTCTTTAAGAAGACCTTAAAAGATAGACTAAAAACTAATCTCACTAAATCAAGATTATCTGGAGTGATGACTATTTTAGAGATACATTGTTCTTCATAGCCAGACACCAAATATATAACTGTATTGATCACTGGGAGTTTATATTTCTGTGATGGTTAAGATTTTTTTCCTACCAACTTTCATGGAGGAGAAACAGATATGGGGTTGGAGCATTCAGCAAACCAAATGTGTACATACTTTCAAGTGTAAATAGGGGACATTTTCTCTAATATCTAGAATATGCTAGGAATTTACCAGCATTTTAGCCATATTAGTTAAAGGATATGATGTTTGATTTTCTTATATATTTGGGTCTCATTGAAAAACTCTAAGCACAGTAACTTACAGCCATTTAACTTGTTATAGAGAGAATGCACATGGCAAGCTTTCATTGTACAGAGCATTAAATCTCTATTAAGTATGATGATTAAGTTTGATATGCTGTAAAGATCGTCTTTTAAATGATATGGCCTTTTTATCATATGATTTCAATTCTGTTGCACCTTAGAAGCAAGATGAATCATGCATTTTTTGATATATTTTATTGGAAAGCAAGAGCAAAATGCATACTATTAAACAAAATATCCATGCTCACAATTGCCTAGATAATTCTAATTATACCCTCCTAGCAAACTCAGTATAAGACTAGAATTGACCAGAAACTGTCACATAATGCAGGGAATTTATCTCAATGAGAGTTTTTTGAGACATGAAAAGGTTTAGACTTCTGCTAGTGATCTTCGAAGACTGAAGTGCTGCAGGTCTGAAGCCTAAAACCTGCCCTTACCTGCACAGAGACAGTCAAATATACTGTAACTCGTACTAGGGCCAGCCCCAGACAGCTGTGGAAGTTGGTCTCAGCACCACTGTAGAGGACAGAAGGGTATAGAATGCCATTAGACTGCAAGAAGCAAGTCCTTGCCAATGACACCAGTTCTCCAGAAAGCATCGCTCTTTTGCCATCCCATCCATCAGTGATAAGATTATCCCCAATAGACTATTGGGGATTTTAGAGATTTAGTCTGAGGTTTATGGAATTGATAAATCATGAGCTGTTGTCATAACTAGGCTTATTATGCCTCATTTCATCATTTTATGGGTAACTTAGGGCTTTATTTGATCTGCCTTCAAAACAGCAAGGTTCCTTCTCTAAGGCAGGAATAAGTACAATTACGTCCTCTTTGTCTGGCAGCAGTTCACAGCTTCTTTTGAGAATCACATTCCAGCAAGTGTGTGTTTGTCTCAAACGTCTTGTCTTTTAAATAGTGAGAAGCAGATAAATATTTTGACACTACAAAGATGATCATAGCCTTTACGTTTCTGTTGGGCTGCTGATGGCAGTTACCACACTGGATTGGAGGAGAAAAAAAAGTTTCATCTCCTAGATTATTGTGGCATACTGTTCTGTGGTGCCATAACTCATCCTTATTTATTTTGCTAACTGCTCTTAGGTGTGCTGAGACAGTAAACCTGACTATTTGTGTTTTCTGGTGACATTGTGCAATGACTCTAGTGGCATTATTTTGCAAACTTCAAAATTAATTTTCTGAGATGGAGGAAACTGAGGTCTTAARGAGAGGGGAATGATAAGGTAGTATTATGAAAGGCTACATAAACTTATATGCCTTCCCTGCAGAATCACTCTTTCACAGAGTCTAGTTCAGTAAACTTCATGTCCAGGAACTTAGCTGGGACAAAATAAAGAGTAAYAGGAATTTGCTTTCTTTGTCACCCTGGCTACCCACATGAATAAACTCTTTGCACCTCTAAAAATGCATGGTTCAAAGACAAAGGATGTTATCTTGATAACGCTTCTATCCCTGATATTTGACTAGTGAGTTCATGACCAAATACAAAATGCAAATTCACATTGCAGCTAATAGCACAAGGGCCTGGGAAAGTCCAATTAAAAACGGAGAAGGCAAAACAAAAACTCTAAGGGGAAACTCTGTAATCTACACTTGATTCCTAAAAGTTAGGCAGATATCTGAATCTGAACTAATCACCCTGGGTTCCCATTTGGGTCAGGGGACAGAAAGAGCCAATATATGTCCTTTCTTAGAAACCATGCTTAGAAGGAGATAGGTTGCCCTAGATGTCCCTGTTCCTGTCCTTCRATAACAGAAGTATCCAGAATAACTAAGGCTCATGCATTTACCTTTGTGATATTTGTGCTATGGATGATACTTTCTGCTCACCTTCACTGTAACCAAGATGTGGCCAGTACCTCAAACATGTTTGCTTGTTGTCCTGCAATGATCCAGATGTGTCTAGGTCTCACACTGCTCTCGAGAACAAATGGTTGGGTGCAATCCCTTCAGCACTGACTGCCTTTTGAGTGTGGGCTGAGCTCAAGATGCCGAGTCCCGAGCAATGCAGAGGACATTTCTCATTGGGCACCACCACTGCTGACAAAGAAGTGCTGCACCTGCCCTGCAAGGACTGGCAACACCTAGGGCTTCCCCCGTCTACTTTGTCACTGCAAATAGTCTTCTTGTCTCAGAGATCTGATATAATAGACCATTCACAGAGGAAAACTCCTGCTAGTCCAAGTACCACTTCACTGATGATGCCTACGGAGCACTATTTCCTTGGATTCATGAATATTACAGTAAGAATGTCTCAAAGGATGAAGAGAGAGACCTGCCTTAAACCTCAAAGATCTCTTCGAGAGAACAGCTGGACTTCTTCATTCGTCCATGGCACATCTGTCCCACCACTCTGACAGGGACTTTGTGACATAGAAAAGATGTCTTGGCATCTTTATCTGTACAGATTTACAGGGGGTTACAGGAGCAATTTGATACTGGGCTTCCAAGCATGCAGAAACAGACATTGGAGGAATGAAAGATGTTGTCGTTATAACATTGGAGGAATGAAAGATGTTGTCGTTATAAAGGACCAAATGTATTTCAGCAAGAGTTCTGCTTCTTTCTAGTCCCTGGTAATTTAGCTGTTTTTTTTTTTTTTTTTTTTTTTTGTGTTCCTGTTCAGGTGTGCACGGCTGCTTTTTCTATTACATTTGGTTCTGCAGCATCTTCCTGATGGTGTGGATTGGGATCGGGTGGGAGACCTTCTTCATGAACACTTGATCCTTGTCCTCTTAAAATGTTTTGTAGCTTATACAGTGTATGGAGCTCATAGTCTATGAAAGGGTCACTGTTGGGAATTATCAGTCCAGAGCCCAACATTCTCCCTTCTGGGGAGATATTGCTCAGTGACACCAGAGAGGTGCAATGAGCAACTATTGTCCGCTCCGGGGAGAATTCCAACCCCAAGGAGGGGCTCAGGGGCTGGCACAGAGCCATCATACGGAGCTGAGCTTTCTGCAGATGTGAAGGTTTCTTCTAGGTCCTGCTTTACGATTTTCAGCAACATCATTCATATTTACTGCTAATGAAGTTCCAGGTCCATTTATGATCCGGTTTATGTCCTTTGACTTTTCAAAGGACACACAGAACCTGAGACCGTCTTTTTATGTTTATATATATATTTGAGACCCATACGTTACATTACCACCAAATTTGTCCCTCTGTTTCTCACTCTCATTTTAGCAAATGCTGTTTTTGGAAAGAATCAAACCAGGAAACTGTGAAGGAAACTAAATAAAAGAAACTTCTTTGCTGTATGTAATGCTTGCACTGTCTAAATATGTTCACATTGTAAGTTCCACTGTAAATAATACCCGGTGTTGTGCATTAATCATACGTTTCATTTAGATGTTCTGCCAGCTGTGTGCGTGAAATAGCCAGTTTCAATTCCTTGTTTCCTTTTTTTTTTCCATTTGAAACCTTTTTATTTTCTTTTGATTTAATCTGTGTCTGGTTGTCACTGGAAAGTGCAGCTGTTCCAATGGATTTTGATTTTGTTCTGTCTGTCACATTAAAAGGGTGGAAGAAAAAAGAGTGCTGCTTGCAGTGTCCATGTTTTAATGTGCACTTTGGCTCCCTTTACATGGGCTGTGACCAGTGGCTTTGAACTTTGATGACAGGGGGTTGTCCTCTGATGTTTGCTACGTGTTCGTCCTTACACTCTCAAACAATCCTACCTCAATTAAGTGTCCTTTTCATCACAGTTTTATCGCACCATTTATTTCCTAACGTACGCCATAAGAAACTTTATACCCTGAAAAGCTTCCCAAAAGCATGGAACATTTTCAAATGCCACATAAAACTACAGACCCAAATTCCGCATTGCAACAAGAATATGTCCAATAAAAAACACTTCTTGATGTAGCTAGGTGCACCATTTGGACAGAACTTATAACTTCATCTGAATGTTTTTCTGGGTATGTGTATGCTGTTCTCATTTGCAGTTCTGTTTACAAATCTAACTTTCTACTTCATGCTTTTGGAGCAGGATACTTAAAATCTATGTGACGTAAATTGAGTGGGAAAAGAGCTCGTGGTGCAAACAGTGGAGGACAGTTTGGCAGATATCTATGCTGACCTCTGAGGTTTATGCATGAATTTCTACTTCACGTGTTCCATAAAATACACTCTTCTTCCTTGACCCCAACTCACTGAAAGGCAGCATGGTTCCAACTCCCATTCAGCTGTGGCTCRTTGGTAAGACATGTAGTTGGAATAAGGTTGTTAATTCAGCCAGTTGTTTAGTATCTCTTCACATACACTGTGTACATAAAATACTAAGGGTAATATTCAAGCCAGATATAAGGAGTCATAAGATATTGGAAATGTAATAAAAGAATCAAGCTAGTAACTGAAGCATTAGGAGACTGAATTAGGGAGTTTTCTTTGGCTTTGACCCAGCCAGATCCCATAGGGCCCATCCAAACTGCAGTCTCAACAGGTGAAGAAAATCCAGGAGCAATCCGGGGAGGGGGAAGCTGGAGGGGACAGATCTCAGGGGGAAACTGCTTGTTGTGTATTTTATAACAGCCATTTCTGACTGCAGAGAACAGCTACAAAGTCAATAGTTCATAAGTCCCTTGTGTGCGTCCTGCCTTTATACAGGAATCTCTGTATTAGAAATCGCTAATAAAAGACATTTACTTAGAAAGATAGGTTTTTAAATAAAGGTCAGAAAGATCCTCACTGAAAGCCCTGCAGGTGTTTTCAGTTGGTCCTTGCTTCAGGCTGGCTGAGGCTTTGCACAAGGCTGAAGTCTCAGTAAGAAAGAAAACTCCATATTTGCATGTGCATTTTTTTGGGAGAGGGGGGGGGGGGTCAGAAGCTGGACAGTGGGAAAAAAAAAAAGTCATTTTAAGGTAAGGCTTAGGGAGTTTAAGAATGGGAGTGCATGACATRGGTGCCTGAAATGGCATGGGATGGACAATCAGAAAGTCCCTTCTAGATCTGCATTCCTTTTTCCATAGTAATAATGGAAAATAGATGGCAACCCACGCATTTCCAGCAGCTACCACATCCAGCTGTCGGCTTGGGTGATGCTTTTGAGTTTTGAAATGATTGGACACTGGGAATATGATTCGAATGAAGTTAAGGTAAACTGGCGCTTACACTTTTATCAGTGGTTCTACACTTCGGATCTTCATTGGATTTTGACTAAATTTCAGATCAAATTTGGCAATTTGATATCATGACTATTTAAAAGCCATGAGAATACAGACAACTTGGCCCAGACACTTCATACTGGGAGGATAAGCTCTGTATTTCCAGCCTGTGACAGAAACTGCTGAAATCAAGACCCTCTGCTAATATATCCCTCAGTACAACTTCGCRGTCGATATCAAGTGACTCTATATTTTGCATATCAGTTTGTTGTAAGCATAGGTCTACAAAACAAAAAGAAAAACAAAAAAAGATTGAAACAGAAGTAGTTTCTGACTATACCTGTATACAAACAGATATAAACACCCGTGCATTTACACATCCAACTGCACTWTCATGAATTAACTTTCTATTTTGGGTCTTGAACTCAAGTCTCAGTAGTGCCAGAAGATGGCAGCAGTTACACACAAAAGGAACAACCACCTCTGCATATTTGCAGTTGTTCTGGTGCTTGCTCATGGCTGAGCCAGGACAGGACCTTGTGTCAGGCACAGGGCCATGAAGCTACAGATCATAGGAAAGCTTTTTGCACCTTTTGGGGTCTGGTCGCAAAAAGTATGGAGGAACTAAAGGAATTAAAAACAGCATTGATGAGAAAGATTAGCAAGTGAATGGAAATATTGCTATTCATTGCCTAGRATTTTGAAATAGAGTTGTGCGAATTTTGAAGAAAAGCAAATGTAATKATAGTGGAGGAGATAAGATAACTTTTGCTTCAGTAATCTAGTGCAAGATTTTTCAATCTTTCCTGACTTGCAACGCTTAAGTGTTTTGCAGTGGAGATGCAAATTTCTTGTCAAAAGGTGTCTGGGATGCTAGTTAGAGCTCTGCATTGACGATATCTCTCTGAGAAACAGAACAAGTTTCCCTGGAAAGCTTTTGCTTTGCTGCAGGAAACAAACACAAAAAATAATCCGGTAAAAACAAACAGACCTAATTGTAAGGAGAACAAAGTCGGTTCTCTGGTGGCTTCGTTCCTCTGTTTTGTAA